TGGAATACGATCCCCTGACGCGAAGAATCGTTTTTTCATCCAAGTACACATTTTACTGTTGCGTTAAACAGAGGCTACAGATAAGGAATTGCGCCCAGTAAATCCTCCCCGGCCAGGATACGAACCCATGACATAGCGCTCGCGGAACGCCAGGCGAGTGTCTTACCACTACACCACGGATACTGGGGGGTTGGGTTGGGGGTTGACTTGGGGGCCTTGGGCCCCGTTGGACCCCAACGTTTTGTTGTTGGTCAGTGTACACATGTTGGTGCTCCGCGCGCTTCTCCCTGGTGGTACACTGCTCTCCCTCATCTTCTCTCTCAATTTGTCGCTCCCTGGATATTGGGGGAGTTCTGAGTTTTATATGTGGGGAACACGTCTAGTTCTTTCTCTGCATATGGGTGTGGAGTAGCTGGGAGCGGCGCTTCCTCTGCCTCTCCACTGCCCCTGCTCTCCTGCACAAGCATCTCTGGACATGATCCACTAGCAATGCACCTACACTGTTACGTGGCTACGCTGTCATTCCTTGATAGTGCCTATGCGTTACAGGTGAGATTCTATGGTCTGGTGTCTTATTAGCTGGGACTCTGGATGCTCATTCATTGCCATCGTTCAGCACCAGCCTGCACCCTTATACAGTATATATGTTCCGTACCATTCTGATGTCTGATCCAAGTAGCATTTGGGTCGGCCCATGTGTTGCGCTTCCTCGGTGGTCGCCCAGGTTGACATCGGGGGGCGCCGATTTTCACGTTCAGGATTTCCCCATAGCTTTCACCTGACCTACCCTAACCTGTCATTAACAGCCTTTGACTTTTGGTTTATTGGGTTGTCAGAATATTTTCCACATTCTTCTTGGGGCGTTCCCCGATTTTGACTTGGACGTCCATTTGTGGGGTCGCAGGGTGTGGGTTAGACCAGTTGCCATTCTGCTCGGTTCTTCCATGTGGTTCAACCATATGTACGCTCCTTCTCCACATTCATATACATCCGGCATGTGTACACGCCTTCTATACCCCTCACCTTCCTCCTGTGGTTTGGATGACTTTTTTCCTGTTTCTTGGGGTCGGGGGTGTTTGGTGCTCATGTGGGGGTTGCTTCTGGGTTATTCCATGTGAATTCACCAAAGGCCTCCCACTCGACCCTTTATAAATCTAATGAATTTTTGTAATAAAGTAGCTACTGTGATTGGTCGCAAATCTTTTCGCTTTACATGGCATTTCTTCTTCAAGGGATTGCAGCAAGTTTTTTGCAAAAATTCAAATTTTGTCAACATTAAAGCTTCATGATGGAGGCATATTTGAGATTCTATCTCCAAGTTCAGTTCGCTTCGCTTTGCTATCAGTTTTTGATCTTCTGCACTATACTGTTTTAGAAACTTCAAGCCTTTGTTGGGAGTGTAGGTTGTCAAGTGACATTCAGAAGAGCCACACTCATGGCTAGCAATAGCACATGGCAATAAACCAATGGAATCCTGATTCATGACGTATCCGTAATCAAATTCAGTTCAAATTATTTAACTAACTGAATACAGTAATTTCAAGTGAGACCTGTAATACATTAATATTAATATTGCTTTTTATTTATTTGTGTATTTATTGCAAGTAAATACACAAATAAGTAAACAGCAATGTTTGACCTGCTGACACAATACTACAAAGATGTAAAGATAAATATAGAACACGAACCTAAAATAGCACTGATTGTTTAATAATAATTCTGAATCCCACCCAAAAATGTTCTACCCAATGAAGCTTAAAATTTTTCCAATCAGTTTGGATATCAATTTGCTAGCAGTCATCATCAGTGCACAAAGAAGATGGAGAATCATAATTTGATTTTTTCGATATCGCACCAAGGTATGTCATTTTTAGAGTCCTCTGACTGAACTAGGAATTCAGATCCCAACCTAAATAAAAGTTACTCTTGTATAGAAAAATCTGCTCTATCCAATGGTGTCATTCAAAACCAAATTGGGAATGACGCATATTGAGATATTTTGAGAAATATTGGCAGTGATATTAGCATGGATCGATAGCTGAATGGCTACCCAAACTACTTTTTTGATTACACTGCTGTATTCCACACCAAAAGTTGCTGTGGTATGCCAAATTTCTCACCTCTCTGGACACTAGTCATGATTTAACAAAGGATCAAAGTTGGTAATTTTTGTGGTATTTACACATCAACGGGACGAGAGCCCATTCAATATGGATCTGTTATTTAAGAACCAAAGCAGATTGAGCCCTAATATTTTGCAAATTGTCATTTGGGTGTCTAGGGTTATCTTACTACAAATTTCATGGCATTTGGAAAAGGTTGAGTGGGAACCATAGGTGACTTATTGGTGATTTGAAATGGAATGACCCTTCTCCCATTAGCACTTGAGTTTGAGCGAGTGTCTTGTTTTCTCTCGATTCATGTTTGCATGTGGCTCATGTGCCTTCTGTTGCCGATTGCTTATGCTTTTGTCCCTGGCTTCCAGTACTTGGACTGTCTTTTCATTGCATTTTTACATGTTCCTACCTTATCCTACACATTGTTGTGTTTCTTGGTAGGCGTGTATTGGCTGCTTTCATGCTTGTGCTAGGTTGCTTTCTGCTCTTGTTCAGTTTTCTTTTGTGGAATGTCCCAGTGTTCCGGTGTAGCTTTACGTTCTTCCTCTTCACTTTTGTCACTACCAGCTTCTGTGTTGCATTGTCTACTGGTGTCTTTGCTTCCGATCACCCACTCCTGCCCCTGCAGCTCCTTTTGTTGGGGCAGGGGGCATTTGGCTTCTAGCCCTGGCTACAGTTTTTTCTTTGTTGTTCCACGGTCCCGTGGGGGGGTGTGCCTCCCGGATGGGGCATGTCTGCTCGGCCGGGTTGGTTGTTTGCTGGATTTTGTCGGGGTTCCTGGTTCCCCGGCGGACATTCCTTTTGGTTCTTTGGCAGCCTTGGTTCCGGCGCGGCTTACTCAGTGTCCGCACCCGGGGTTTTTCCTATGGCTCCACCTCTCTTGCCTGGTCTGTCCGCTCCATGACGGGGCTGGTTCAGTCTTCTCGAGTCTTCTAGTCTAGTCGTTTTGACTCAAATATCTCACCATCTGTTTGGTGATCAGGTGGCTTCTTGAATGTGTCCCACCTGTGTACTTCGTCTCGGCGGCGGTATGGGGTTTTCTGGCGGTCCTTCCTTTTCTTTTTGTCTCTTCATAGGTGTACTGCGATCTTTCTTGTCGTGGTCTTGTTGTTTTCTCGTAGTGGTTCATGGCTGTCATCTGGCTGTATACCGTCGCCCTGTCTTGTGTGGCATTGTCGGAACCACTTCGGATTGCCTTGTTTTGCTGCTCCTTCTGCACTGTTCACACGTTGTCTAGAGTGTTGTTCGCCTTTGGCCTGCTTCTGCTCCACTTGTGCCGTCCTGCTCTTGGGCAGGGTGCTTTTTTCTTTCTTCCCCTTGGTATGTTGTGGCCCCTTCGGTTCCGGTTTTTGTCAGTGGTTCTCCTTCTTGGGGTTCTGGTGTTCGGTTTGTTCGTTTGCGGCCCTATCTTCTTTTCTGGTGGGGTTGCGATGGCTCTTTCCGGAGGGGTTCCTGGGGTTGCTGCTGTTTGGTTGGCTGGCCGGGGTGGTGTTCTTGTGTCCGGTTGCGGCTCTACGCTATTCTTTGCACGCTGCGGCCTTTGTGGCCGGGGCTACGCTTTGGGTTGATCCAGTTTCCCTTCTTTCTGTCTAGCTTGCCTGCAGTCTCTCCCCATGCCCTTGATATTTGTAGGCTTGCTGTACTTGCTGCCGTCTTAGTGGCATGTCTTGGACTGACATTCGGGCCATAGTTTGTTTTGGCGGTTGTGCTGGGTCCTGGCTGCGCGCTCCCTTGTGTATGTTCCTGGGCCTAGTTGGGCCTGTGTCGACTTGGGTCGGCTGTTGCTGCCTGTTGTCTCGACTTCGTATTGTGGTGTGAGTGCCGACCGCCTCCCGGATGCATCCCTCTGTTTTCGTCTTTGGTGAAGTAGCTCCGGGGAGCCGTAGAGGGTCCCCCCAGAAAACCAGCGTTGAATGTAATGAAACGCCATTTTCTGGGCGAGTCACAGTGGCTACCCGGCAACCCTCCCTCCCTCCGGTCGGCGGTCTTTTCAAATTTTTGATATCCAGCCTCAGAACTGAGGTGTGGATCGCCGGCGCGAGGGTCTGGGGGCTCGTGTGACGTCATGCTTGTTTGCTCATTTTTCTTTTGGGGGAGTTCTGTCCACTCGTTGGTGACTTCCTTTGTTTTAACCGGAATAGGGGTTTGTTTTGTGGCGCTTACCTTTCTGGGTGCCTGTCCCGGTCGATGGCAGATATAGACTGCTCCAAATCACTTGTGCATTTCTATGGGCCATTGCTCCTCGTGCCTCTGTGAGGGGGCCAGGTTCTGGCTCGTAGTCTCCCCGGTAGGCCTAGAACTCCACCCACATTGATTGATGCAAAATAGTTAGGGTATCTATATCAGCCTGGATAGCTCCGGGGAGCCTCCAGGACTCACCCAGAAGATGGCGTTTCATTACATTCAACACTGGTTTTTTAACCTCCTCCTATGCGAGTTGTCCATGAAGTTTCTCTTCATATCCTTGCCTAACTCTGTGTTGGCCTTGCTGTGTATGGGTCAGCTTGGGTTTTGGAGACCTGACATGATCTTCAGGCTGAGCATGTAAGCACCAGGCAACTGCTGAGATGGCCTTAATAGAGAGGAGAGAAGAAAAGAACAGTGTGGATGATCTTCACAGTGTGTTGTGGATGAAATTTGTGAGATTTAAGAGGAGAGTGAGGGGAATAACTGCCAACATGAATCTAGACTTGTATGGGCAGTAATAAAAATGTGTACCAGGTAGAAGAGACAGCATGGTAAATCCCACTGTCAACTGAATTTCAGAGTTACCATGGAAGTATCTCAACAGTTGGCTGATGCCATAGGACAACCTTCTCTTAAGACCACATATAAACAATAATGTAGTATAATAATTTAAAAGGTTAATGCTTGTATTTTCAGAATTACCGTCGAGTAGCCGAGGTTTGGATGGATGAATATGCTCAATATCTCTATAAACGTCGACCATCATATCTAAAAATTGATGTGGGGGACTTGACGGAGCAAAAAGCTATAAGGAAAAGACTAAACTGCAAACCATTTAAATGGTTTATGACACAAGTGGCTTTTGATCTGACAAAAGTTTACCCTCCAATTGAACCTCCAAATTTTGCCAGTGGGAAAGTAAGTTTTATTTTTTAATTGCAGTGTGATCTACTTGAAGCTTTTATAAAATTCTTATGCCCTTTGTTACACATTTACAAATTATTGGCTGAATTTATTGTTTTATAACTGGTCTGGTGTTCTGTTTATTGTAGCCAATTTCATCGATGTTTAAGGATACAATTTTGTGATATTAGGACCCATGTTTCACTTGGATTCTTTAAAGTAGGTACTTGGAAGGGTAACTAATGGGAACTTGGAATCACTGAATTTGAATTTTCCAACACTTGTTAATACTTTGACCATCAGGTCCATTTTCTACTTTCTTTACACTAAATACAGCACTGAAGCATTTTGACTTGATCTGTAGTTCTTCACTTTCCAAATCAGTTATATTTAACATCTTAAACTCATTTTCTCAAAATAAACTTGTTTGTTTTTAATTAAAGTATTTTTTCTGCTGGGAGCCTCTTTGGCTCCATGGAGCTACAGAGCACCACTTGGTTTCCGAACTTTAGTTATCCGAAACTTCCAGTTTCCCGATTGGGGTTGGGGAGTCATGCTACCGAACAAAGTTCGGGTAGGAAGGGGTCCACCAAGCGTCACGCCGGCTTGTGGTGGTGGGTGGGCGATGGTCCAGTTTGCCCACTGTGACTTCACAGATTCACGGCCTATTATTCCGATTATTTTGAATTGCCATAAGGCTGGAATGTTCATTCTGTGCTTTTGTTTTACATATCTGCACAATCAAGAAACATCTGTGCACCATGTTGGCTCCAAATGCACGCATTGCGTCAGTGATGGCTGACTGGTGGGTGGATGGACGATGGAGTTTAGGTGGGAGGCAGTATGAATGAGGGGGGGGGAGAATCAGTGAGAGAGGGGGGAGAGAGATGCTAGGAGGGAGGGGGAGGTAGGGAGAGATGTTAGGAGGTAGGGAGAGATGCTAAGAGGGAGGGGGAGGTAGGGAGAGATGCTAGGAGGTAGGCAGGAAGGGATGGAAGTAGTTGTGAGAATTAGGGAGGGAAAGGCAGGCTGGCAGGCACAGGCAGGCAGGCTGGCAGGCACAGGCAGGCAGGCACAGGCAGGCAGACAGGCAGGCAGGCAGGCAGGCTAGCTTGCAGGCAGGGAGTGAGTGGTAGTCACGCGGTTGAACCGCGTGACCTTGAGAGATGGGATGTAGGGGGGCGGGTGGTTTGTTGGTGGTGGGGGTGAGACCGGCTCATTCCCGAAGATAAGCCTAACACACACTACCCGTTAGCATGATGGCAGGGGGGGAGGCAGGCTGGCTGGAAAGGAAGCAGGCTGGCAGGCTGGGAAGGAGGCAGGCAGGGAAGGAGGCAGGCTGGCAGGCTGGGAAGGAGGCAGGCAGGCTGGGAAGGAGGCAGGCTGGCAGGCTGGGAAGGAGGCAGGCAGGGAAGGAGGCAGGCTGGCAGGCTGGGAAGGAGGCAGGCTGGCAGGCTGGGAAGGAGGCAGGCAGGCAGGCTGGGAAGGAGGCAGGCAGGCAGGCTGGGAAGGAAGCAGGCTGGCAGGCTGGGAAGGAGGCAGGCTGGGAAGGAGGCAGGCTGGGAAGGAAGCAGGCTGGCAGGCTGGGAAGGAGGCAGGCTGGGAAGGAAGCAGGCTGGCAGGCTGGGAAGGAGGCAGGCTGGGAAGGAGGCAGGCTGGGAAGGAGGCAGGCTGGGAAGGAAGCAGGCTGGCAGGCTGGGCTAATATGCAGTTCATTAGATCAGGGCATTAGTCAAAGTAGTTCAACGTACCGGGGACCAGGAGCCAGAACCTGGTCCCCTCAGAGAGGCAGAGAGAGCAATGGCCCTGGAAAACCTCCCTGTGGTTGGGTGTTTTCCTAATCTGCCATTGACCTGGGTTAGGCACCTAGAAAGGTAAGCCTAATAAAACAGACCCCCACATGGTAAGAAAATTGCAACTGAAAACCAAACAGAGAGGTAGAACTCCCTCAATTCCCAAGGAAACAAGCAAATGTCACACCACATTGCCGTGCCGCTCTGGCATGCAACTTCCTCTTCCCCCACCCCCCATGGAGGGGGTAGTCCTGGATCCACCTTGCCGGCTACCCAACATCAGTTAATTGACTAATGCAATCCAGGGCAGTTGTCAACACTGGCCTCTGTTTCCTGTCACTGTTTTTACTGTACCTTCGTGGTGTTCTCTGTTGTTTGTGGTGTGGTAGCCAGGTGTACCTGAAGTGTACCAGGGTTACATGCACTTAGGGCAGCCTTTCCTAAGTGCCCTGTGTGTACTACCCTTGCATATCGGGGTTAACTTTCCTGGTGCGTTTGGGACGTCATTTCTGTAGGGGTTTTTGCTGCTCGGCATCTACCCCGCCCTCGTGGCCGGCTGGGGTTTCGTGGCCCGTGTTTGGCCATGGGTATGAAGTGGTTTTGCTTGTGGCTGGGACGTCAAGGTGTTGCTCAACCTGCTTACCTATGCAGCGGCCGGTTATAATATTTTGGTGGCTCTCTGCTAGGCCCCCGTGATTGTACACGTTGCAGGGGTTTCAGTGTTTTTTATCTTCCCCTTGTTATCTTAGGGTGTCCGGTTAGTAACACCTTGCCCGGGCTTCCTGTAGCAGTGAGCCTACGGCTCGCCTCATACGAGTTTGAAGGCTGCTGTGTGTCCTTGTCTCAGGGTAACAGTCACCACTTTTGCCTCCATCATGCTGCCTGTTGGGTCAACGATACCTTTGACCCGGAGCCTGGTGAATCGTGTTCTGCTTGTTCTTCATTTTACCCATCCTGATGACATTGATATTCAAGTACAGTGCATCCTCACTCTAATGAACCCCGCTCTATCGAATTGCCGGATGATCCGAACTACTGTGGGGTCTCGATTTCCGATGGTAATCTGTTCTCGGATACAGAGCGCAAGTCGAAATATCGTAAGTCGAAGCGATTTTTCCCATAAGAAATAAAGGGAATTGAATTAATCCATTCCCCACCCTCCAAAATATTAACTTACAAATACATTTTATACTGAATACAATTTTTGTTCTCTAACTACAATACAGTACATACGTTTATCTTACCTTTATGGAGGATTCTTGATGGCGTATGGAAGATGGTGAGGAGGGGGGAGGAGGAGAGGTGTTACTGTTTGGAAGGGGAGTCCCCTTCCATTATAACATCAGGCAGTGAGGACTTCTCTGGGGTACACACTCTGGCACGTTTTGCCTGCATACCACTAGGACTTGCTTCTGGCTCACTGCTTGATTTTCTCACTAGAAATCGTTCCATTGAAGATTGTTTTTCCCTTCTTTCCAACACTTGTCTGTAGTGAGGCATCACATTGTCATTAAAAAGGTCAATGCAACGGGCTGTTACAGCTTTATCTGGGTGATTCTTTTCAGCGAAACTTTGCAGTTCTTCCCATAGTACACACATTTTCTTAGTTAATGAGGAAGGGACATCCTCTAATGCTGCCGCCGCCTCCTATGAAGATTTATTGTACTGCCTAGCAAGTTCAACAACACTAGTACCATTTTCATGTTTGCATATGACCTCTTGTTTTTCCTCTATGGTCATTCTTACATGTCTTTTCATATGTTGAACCTTACCACTGACTTTCTTGGGACCCATGGCGTGATATATAATAATCAGTTTTATGTTCAAAAAACAAAAAATCACCACAAAAATGAAATTTCTTATAGGTGTGATCGTCACTAAGCGGGCAGCTCGAGTAAACTTAGGCAGGTCGGCCCGCGTGACCAGGAACCACACGCTCGGTCGACCCAAACGTGTACCAACAAATATTGTTAGTCGACGACACTATCGTAAGTCGAGTCGCATTTTTCGATCAAATTTACATCGTAACTCGAAATTATCATAAGTCGGGGCAATCGTAAGTCGAGGTGCCACTGTAATTGAATTCGGTACTAACTGTTCAGTGGAACATACAAATGTTAGATTGTGAGGATTGTTTGTCCAAGCGATCACTGGGACTGTCATAGTTGATGACAGCCACTGTCATCAACTATGATTCACCAAAGTGTAAACAGTTCTTCAGTATTATACCTGCTTGATACCTGGTTGATGGGGTTCTGGGAGTTCTTCTACTCCCCAAGCCCGGCCCGAGGCCAGACTTGACTTGAGACAGTGGTACACCAGGCTGTTGCTTGGAGCGGCCCGCAGGCCCCCATACCCACCACAGCCCGGTTGGTCCGGCACTCCTTGAAGAAAACAATCTTGTTTCCTCTTGAAGATGTCCACGGTTGTTCCGGCAATATTTCTGATGCTCGCTGGTAGGACGTTGAACAACCGTGGACCTCTGATATTCATAAAGTGTTCTCTGATTGTGCCCATGGCACCTCTGCTCTTCACAGGTTCTATTCTGCATTTTCTTCCATGTCGTTCACTCAAGTATGTTGTTATTTTACTGTGCAGATTTGGGACCTGTCCCTCCAGTATTTTCCATGTGTATGTTGTTTGGTATCTCTCTCTCATCTCCTTTCTAGTGAGTACATTTGGAGAGCTTTGAGACGATCCCAATAATTTAGGTGTTTTATCTCGTCTATGCATGCTGTATATGTTCTCTGTATTCCTTCTATTTCAGCAATCTCTCCTGCTCTGAAAGGGGAAGTGAGTATTGAGCAGTATTCAAGACGGGACAACACAAGTGATTTGAAGAGTACAACCATTGTGATGGGATCTCTGGACTTGAAGGTTCTCGTAATCCATCCTATTATTTTTCTGGCTGACGCAATACTTGCTTGGTTATGCTCCCTAAACGTTAGGTCGTCGAACATCATTATTCCCAAATCCTTGACATGCTGTTTTCCTACTATGGGCAGATTCGATTGTGTTTTGTACCCTGTATTATGTTTCAGATCCTCATTTTTGCCGTATCTGAGTACCTTTATTATTATATTTTGCTTACCTACGGTTTCCAGTGAGAAATGGTTGAAGGATGATAAAATTGTGTCAAAGGGGACAGGTTGCATCATTGGTGAGGGTTGGAGTCTGGGGGCACGTGGTGTCAGTAGTTGGGGGGTTTAGTGTCAGGAGGCA